TCATTTTCTTTCAGTACTCTGCTGGATGTGCCGGACCTTCAAGTGTGTTATTAGGTTTCGTATCTTCATGAACTGCAGTCCACACACGTTGCACTTCAAAGATATTTCTTTCTTGTCTATATCATTTCCAGGAAGCTCCCTTTCCTTGGATGAAACCTTCTTGTGTACAGCAAAATGTCTCACCAAATTAAGCTTATAAAAAAAGTGTTTTCCACAAACGTCGCACCCAAACAACTTCCTCTTCTGGGAGTGCAGCGAAGAATGCCTCAGAAGATTTCCCTTTTGGCTGAATTGCCGCCCACATACATCGCACGAGAACGGCTTGACCCCGGCATGAACCATGGCGTGTGTCTTCAGATTGCTCCGGCTGCTGAAGCGTTTGCAACATAGGCTACACTCCAGGGTTTTCTTGACATTACGATACATGATGGAGAAAGAGGATATTGTCCTTTATGACCAAAGACCCGACGATACTGCCAGGTTCGCTCAAATGACCTGTACTTAAATATTACATAAAGAGGACACTGGGAAAAGTACCTCGTTTGGCAGAATGACGGTAGTTTTTTAAAGTGAGGTCTTGCGCCATTCTCGAATACCATCTCGGGTTTCTTATTGCTAATGAAACCTGATGTTTAAGATGTTAGAGAAAATAACGAGATGAGTAAATCATTATAAATGTACGAAGTTTGTTGCCAAAGAGCGGAGCTCATTACCTAAATGACCTGCAAAAGAAATAAAAATAAATGTTATTACGACCTCTGACATCTTTTATTCTGTTTATACGTGTATAGATATAAAACATTCAGCAAAGAACATATCGATCGAATATATTAACTCATTCCCCGTTCACACTGGATGTAGTTTTAAACACGGAAGAAGGTAACAATATAATTTAGATAACTAGACGAATATCATCAATGATAATTACGGTTGTTGCATAGATTACTTGATTAGGGATATACTAATGATTTCTTGATACACTGATGCATAATTTTCACAAATTTGAAAAACAATAGAGTAAGAAAATTACGAAATCCATACAAATATCACTCAGTGTTTTTGCTCTTGTGTTTTCTTATTCACTTCCTTGTTCAGAAGAAACACATCGAAATGAATTAAATCTAAAGCACTTTATTTCATATAAGTTATATAACTTGAGATAGTGTAATCGTATACAGTACAGGTATATGTACAATGACAGTGGAAATAATTAGTTAATGTTTTGGATGGCGAAACTTCAGGAGCCCTGATATATCAATATCTACCCCATAATTCTTATCAAAAAGGAAATTGGACAAGCAGTTTCTGAGTAACACGGGGGAAAATAATGCATAAACCAGTTCCCATCTGTTCCTTACTTCCCTTGAGATCTATGCTATATTACTGTCCTTGTTGCTTGTGCAGTCTTTGACAGGTGTGTTAAAAATGTCCAAAAAGGCTTTTGTTATCTATTTCACTTCAAGTCATTACTAAGAAATCCAACTGGTTTATATTTTTAACATTTTCCTGAAGACCTGTGGCCTGAGATGTTGGGAAATGGTTTTTAAAAATGCAAACTAGTATATTAGCTCTAATGAATCTTATTATATGCCACATTATTAATATACATGAATACTACACTACTGTATGCAGTATATACGATTTTCCGTAGAAATTGTTTCTTTCATACACTACAACATTATCACAAAATACACAAGAAGCTAAAAACCACACCTTTCCCAAGTACCAAGGAACTAGTAATGGTGTACAAATTACCAAATAATTTGAGCTTTTATCGGGGAAAAGTTGAATGACGAAAAATAATGCTGAATAAGCTATCAGTAGGCTGTAGACGTAACGAAATCACATGTAAAAGAATAATCATAAGAAATGACCTGTGTGGAGTTTTTTTTTATGCCATGTGAACAATAAAGAACACAAAAGTCTCACATCTGATTACATTTGCATTACAATTGAAGAAAACATATTGGTTTAACGTTGCTCTAACTCGATTAAGGTTTTATGACAAAGGGGTTTGAAGAAATGAGAAAGAGGAACATTTCCAAGGAATGCAAACGGCATGTGTCCCAAAGGAATATTTCCCGAGAGAATGTATATTTGGAGTCATATTATGGAGTCACTAAACAGGCTGAAACTCATAAACATAACCAGCTGGGTTCTCTTTGGGATGCACATTTTATTCTAAATACCATTTACATATAACATAAATAAAATGAATTGCTCTCTACAAAATGTACACGTGTCGTAACAAATTTTGTTATTATCAAAGGACAATGAAAACACATTCTTATATCGTGTCATTTTTCGAAGAAAGCCAGAGTTAAGCCGAATGTATGAATTTAATTTTTTTTTTTTAGTGGAATTCTCTGAATGATTTGTAAGAGAGTCTTCTTTTCAGACTTAGTCCTGTGCATAATCGTTAGTCATATTGCTAATGGCCATAAATAATGAGCTAATAGCAAAAACTAATAGCAATTACCCGGTTTTGTCATCGCTCATT